AAAATTGTACATTACATGGCAGGTCCTCGTTGCAGGCCACCTGAGCAACTTTGGTTTAATTACCTCTAAGAAAGTAAGCGAGTACCTAAAAGTTATCGGATCGGCTCGTACTATAGCTCATTCGATAGAGCTCGAAAAGTTGGTCTAGGGGTTTAGTAATTGGTTTTGCTGTTTCGGGGGTCCTAAGGGGTGTTTTGGGGCTTCAAAGTTGAAAATCAAGTGTGTGCCTGCAGACGGCGTTATTTTCGTGAAAATAGCACGCTAATCGCGGAGAAATTGATAGCGCCGGCCGGCTGTCTCGGCAAAAACAGCGGAAGAGTACTGCCGCCGTATCTGACCAATCAGCGGGGAGTGGGCGTGGCCCATTTTCGGAGGGGGCTTCCGTGAACGCTCGATCGCTGGCTGTTTTGGGTACATTTCGAGGACTGTTGACTACAGCTCGGCTTGTAGTGGAGCGATTTGACTGAAAGATTGGGAATAGGCACAGCGTGGGTATATGAAATGGTGTTAGAAATTTGAATCTAATGGGTTCACGGAGAAAAAAGTTGTTATATAGCCATTTTCAATCATTTCAAATGGGTCTCTGAAAAAAGTCACGAGCAATTGGGTGAATAGCGTTTTGCTGCTGCAATACGGCTTGTTTCTGGGTCTAAATACATCATGCATTGTACTTTGAGGGCCTAATCTGCCTTGAAATGAGTTTAAATGCATTATAATGAGTTACTATCCATGGCAATGGCATTTGGGGGCACGCTATATTGTTTATTCCAGTGCAAATGGGGCCTATCGTTGACCAATCGATACTTATCATACTGTTTGTGCGAGTAAATGTTAATTTGTTCCGATATAACGTTGAATAATGTTCATTTCCACGTAATGTTGACTGGTTGCTCCGTGGCAAACCGGTTGCTCGTCGGCAAATGCGCGCCGCAGCCGGTATTTCAAACTATTCGCCTAAAAACCGACTTCGCAAAGGTACCGGTGAGTTTTTTCTTTGTTTGTTGTATTGTGCCTTTATTTGTGCATGTTATTATTGCTATCTAATGCGTTTATTTTCTCTGCTCGGTGTTTTGCCGGTTGGGGGTTGGAAAGCGGCAGAACTTGAAAGATTCTAGCCCTTTTCAACTCACTTGTCGGCTTTCATCCGAGTTGCTCCTATATCGGCCAAGTGAACTGCTTCACTTGGATTCTTTTTTATGCCTGTTTAAGTGAGAGTGTCTGCACGAGTGAGTGTTTTTGTGTGTATTAGTATGCTTTTGTTTCGATGTATGATTGCTTTACGGTGTTGGATGGCTGTGAGCGAGTGTGAGTGTGAGAATGCGCCATGCTTTCGTTTCGCCTCAGATTTTTATATGTATTTGGTGCACTTTTAGTTGAAATGCATAGTTTTCCAGCTTCTCCTCAGCAGGTGAGTCTCTTATTGCATGTATTTGGTTTACTTTCAGGCTTACTTCACAGTCAGTGCATTGTCATGGCCCAGGTATGCTTATTGTTTGTGTGTTTTCGCATTTTCATATGTGTTTTTCATTTTTTCTTATGCGCAATTCTTCATTTATGTTTACATTTGCTTATCATGTGTGTTGTTTTGCGTTTTATTATAATATGAGAATGTGTGCGTGTGTATGATATACGGATATTTTACCTTCCTACTATGTTCGTCTTTTCTATTTTTTTTTTGTTTCTTGTATTAGTACATGCTTATTATATGTTTAAGTAATGTTTAAGGTGTGTGTATGTGTGTTTAAGTGTGGTGTTATTGAGTGTGTGTGAGTAAGTATGAATATGTTTATATTCTACAATATTGCTTTATTAGACCACACTGATGAGCCCATTGCTTGCTTTTCGGCTGTCTGTGGTTGAGAGGGCGAAACAGCCTTTTCGTAATTTCGCATTTTCATTGAATTTCTGTATGTTATACATTTTTTTCAGATCTGAGCTCATATGGAGGAATATGGGGAGAGCCTGTAAGAAGCGCTGCGGAATTGGAGGAGGGCGAATTGTGGAGCCGGTTGCCGAGCAGGGTTTATGAAAACCTATGGCAGACGATGAGCAGGAGCCCCTCTACAACCACGAATAGAATACATGATTGAACGATAAATTATTTCTATCGAAATGTGTCTTATGATATAGCATTGAAACGTGCCAGTAGTAGAGTTCATAAGACAGACAGACAGACAGACATGACAGACAGACATGCACACATTTATGAGTGAGCCCTCAGGAGGTATGAAAGGAACGGCATTGTGTGCGTATGGGGGGATCGTCCCAGATTGCTCAGGCTAAATACTAGTAAGCGCGTGACCATCAAACCTTCCGGTGGACCATGGAGCCCTCGATGGGTACACATATGCTGCACATCCAAAGCAGCACAACGAAACTTGGCTTTTCATTGAAACGATGAGGGGCAAAATGTTTCGTTGATATGTGTAATAAGGGATCAGCTTATGTTTAAAATTTGAGTTTGATCCGTGCAGTATGGAGGTAGTTGACTTGTCGAGGACGGCGCCGCAGCTGTACTCCATGGGCGCCTGTGGCACGGCACCCGTTGATGGCGAGGTGGGCGTGGCCACGTGTTCGCGCTACAAGCGCGAAGAGCCGGCGCAGTGGGGTGGATTTTGGATGGAGATGGGCATCTACAGAGGGGTGAGCTGTATGTCGGCTGGCAGTGAACATCATGGAAAATGACCAGCACCGTTGGATTCAGCATGGTCGAAAACCCCCGCGGGTCCGGATTCCAACTGCTTTTCTCTTCTCTTTCTCTGAAAAAAAAAACTTTTCCATCCAACTGCAACTATTTTCTGCCTTTCCCAATGGATAAGGCAGATGTGCGGTCTTATCGCACAATGTGCGGTTAGACCGCACTCGATTTGGCTTGGCAAGAGCTGAGCCGATAACTAAGAATTTGTGCCTTTCCAGTGTGTATGGTAGGTTGCCTAAAAATAATGTGAGATATGGTGTGGTGTGTGCAGTATGCACACATTACACCACGAACAACGCCAGCATCAATCAATAGCGCCGTTTTCGTGGAAATTGCTACTGGTGTGTATTCCGTTCGTTTCTGTAGGTTTTTTTTGCGGTTTATTCGCTATAGCGCTGTAGTGTAGGCCCAAAGGTATAAGCCTAAGCCTATGTGTAAGCATAAGCCTAAGCCTATGTGTAAGCATAAGCCTAAGCCTATGTGTAAGCATAAGCCTAAGCCTAAACCTAAGCCTATGCTTGAGGCTGTGCTCCTGGGATGAGTGACCTCAACCACAAGCCTAAGCCTGAAGCTACGCTGAGGCTTTGGCTTCTCCTGTTGGGTTTGCAGTGAGCAATTTCTAGCCTAAGCCTAAGCCTAAGGCTGGTTCACAGGCTTTAAGCTTGAGCTTCGGGTAGGATGCGCTCATAGCAGGCCTAAAACTTATGTTTCTCTGCTTCGTTTCTTAATTTTTTGTGTAGGCATAATCTTAGGCCTGTCTTGGGCTTATGCTTGCAGATAGGCTTAGGACTCACCTATGACATTTATTGGACCAAGCCTAAGGCTAAACATAAGCTTGAGCGTCGGCCATAGGTTTATGATTAGCCTTAGGCTTTGGGGTCTCCTGATAAGAGGGAAGCGGAGTAAGAGGCAGAGGAAGAGGTAAATCAAGGAAGTGAACGCGCATCTGGTATCGCTCATTGTTTTCAACATGTATTTCTGACTGTTATTTTATTGAGAATGGCATTTGGACGCTTGTCTCGCATAATCGTACTTCGCGTAATATACGTACTCTATATATTGCATGTTGGATGTCATGTAGCACCGACAGAGACCTGAGACTTCTGGGGGTGTTTATGTGGTTAATTATTTCGCTATTTTTCGAAAATGTTGTGGTGGTATGCGACGAAACTTGCGTAGAGGGGGTTTTGTTTAACAAACCACAAATGAGACTCATACATTCCTGCTTTTGAAACACACACACACACACCAACCAATTGCTTTTCCTCACTCCCACCCATGATTGGCTGCACTCTCCTGGTTCTTCGGATTCCTCTGATTCCCATAACATCATAGCAGCGGGTCGTTTCCTGTTCACTGGCGGTAAGCTGACGTGCTCTTCTTTTGTGAAATTTCGCTTACGTTTGTAAATCGACGCAGGTACGGTGTGTGGTGCACTAGGACGGAAAACAATTTTTCTGGGATCTTGGGTCCATCGTTGATTCACTGCGGGAACCTTGGGTCCACTGATGAGTAGCGTGGACCTGAGGTCCTCGCAGCGGAGAATGTTTCGCGCTGCGAAGCGCCAACAAGTCACTTCCTGTCCTAGTGAACCCAACTCTTCGCGCTCCAACCGCGAAACCAAACTTTTATCACTCACAGTTCATTGTGGTTCACTGGGACGCAAAGCGACTTTTTGCCGCAGCGCTAAACATTTCTCGCTGGCGGAACTTCGGGTCCACCAATGATCTGCGCTGGACCAGAGCTCCCACAGCGAATGTTTATAAAACCGCGAAGAAGTCGCTTTCCGTTCAAGTGAGCCATACCCGACTTCTATTTGCTTGTGTGGGAGCATAAACCCGTATGGGATAGTCGGCTTAAAGTTCGTGTGCGGAACAGACAGAATCGTTCGATTTATTTGAATTTGGAGACCTTCTATTTATTTCCAGTTGTGAAACTCTTGCTGCCGTTTTTCCTCACAGATATTTTTTGCCGTTTTTCTCACTCATTTTACTCTCTCGTGCCAAATAGTTCACAATCAGATATTAGTGTGTGATGAGATACGTGCCCCCACACAGCTCTTTTTTTCTGTTGACATCACTAAAGCTTGCTCTTGTTGATGTAAAAAAGGAACGAATGAGAGCGATGTGCTCTATTTGGAGAGCTATTTTCTAATGATGTGTTTCAAGGTGGTGGAGAATCGTAAGAATTTTCCTTTCGGAATTTTTTTTTTCGTTTCCATAAAGAAAACAATATGCGATAGTGCCAGACAACAATGTTATTGAAAGATACTGGGTGATCCTTGTTGAAGACTTATCGAGCGACTTCCCGTTTAGTTCACCTCTCAGTGTTAACACAATAGGGTGCATTGCTAAGTACCGATGAAAACGTGCTTTTTTCCAAAATTATTCGTTGAGTCAACATAATCACAAAAGATTCCGGACGCATTAAACATCTTGCTAGCAAATCTCCTTATAGATAGCCACTTTGCGCCTCTATCGCCTAATCGATTTTGGCGGATAAGACCCCAGGTGCCTGCCAAAGTACTGGGCCGTATCCTGAGCTCTTCTCAGATGACCCCCTCATCCCATCATCCCGACTAGGGACAGGGTTGCGGCAGAGAAACACCATACTCTGCGTTTTCACACTGCGGACGCGGGACCCCTCAAACAAAGACTGCCTCAACAGGGTATCGTTCGCTACACGATCACACGTTCAATTGGCGGTGCTATGACGCAACCCTGTCCTAGCCCTCCCCTGAGTTCGCTGGCCCCGCCAGCGTGGAACCCTGGCATGAGGAGCATATAAGTGGAAATGCAGTAAAAAAAACGAAGAAATTACGAAAGTACAGGTCACATGAAGATGCTTCCACTAGCCATGTGCTTTCCAAGGCTTAGTATAGATAGCATGTTCGTTAAAGAGTTATTACAAGAGGCAGCAGAATTACTTGTGATGCTTCTGACGCCTTCTTTTCGTGGGTTTTTCGTAGTTTCTAAAGTGCTAAAAAGTTTCATCGTTGTGTGTTTAAGGTATACAGAATCGAATACCATTAATAATGGCCGCTGATGAAGTCATAGACATCTGAGCAGCAAATGCGTACGCTGCAGTTCAATGACAAGGTGTCACGGCTTAACCGAGAATTTATCCGCCAGCTTCAAGAATGGTATAAACAGTGTGCTCACTATGATTTAGTGAGTTTTCTTTATCTGTTTAGCAGTAAAATTAGATCTTCCTTCTTTTTTGAGTCTGTGTTCTCTTTTCGACATTAACGGGATACGTGTGTGAGTCGCTAGGATTCCAGAACGTTTTTTTGGCGCTAAGTGGGTTGGGGGGGACAACGCGGGTAAACTGTATCTTGCAAAGGAAAACTGCCCGGGCGATTCATTGAAATTTGTTGACTTCTGGTTCTTCAGCATGGCTCAAGGAGTTATGATGTGTGATACGTGCGTAGACCAATCGTGTGGCTATATCAGATATTGCCTAAGTGAGTATACTATAACACAAAGATAATCTTCGTTAGCATAATGTAGAGGTTTTCATTAAAGTTAACGGAGGATAGCATTAGACTAGAAGGTGTTTTGAAGTTGCTCTATTGCAGGTACAGAGCTTACGAACTTGACGAGTACGCTTGCTGGCTTTACGTCGAGGAAGAAGAGAAGTGAGTAGATCTTACTTTTTTCTTTGGAGAAGGATTCGGTTGTTATCATTTCGAGAAGATATCAGTTTTCTTTAAAAGGGTTTCTTCCATATTGGCTTTGCACATTCATGATTCTTCGGGAACCTTGCTGTTTATTCTTTGTTCTTTTTCTCAACTATGATAGGTATTAGGGTCTGATTTACTAGGACAGAAAGCGACATTTTCGCGATTTGCTTGCGAAACATTCTTTGCTGCGGGAACTCCAGTTCTACGCTAGACGCTAGCGAAAAAGACGCTTTCTGTCCTGGTAAACCAAATTCTAGAAAGTCGTTCTAGGTTAGATTTTACCCTTTCTGGCTTTATCTAAGCAGACAATCTGGCTTAATCATTTCTAAGCAGACACTTTCCCATGCTGTTATACGGTTGGCTTATTGCAGACTGCGCAGCATCTATACTTGATGCTGCGCTATGTTGCAGTTGGTGCAGCCCTTCCCTTGGTTCCTTTAAAATGTTGTGGAGGGAGGGATGGGGAAAGACTTGGAAGTTTTCCCTTTCGCAGGACCCACTTGGCCACAGTCGCACCTGTGATTTTGCAGCCCTTTTCCGATCCTTTTCTATTATTGATTATATGGTGGATTGAGCACCAAAAAAGTGAAAGAATGAAAGCAAGGCTGCAAAATCAGAGGTGAAGCTCCTGCCCAGTGGGTCCCGCGACGGTACTATGACGATTACGCAATACTTGGGTGGTGTGGCACGCTTGCTACTTCTATTGGGACTGACTCTTAAAATTACCGGGGGGGGGGAGTGGGGAGCGACAGATGTTCAGATAGGATTGACTCTCAAAATTACCGGGAGGGGGGGAGAGAGCGACGGTGTACTTACTTTTACGCCCTTAATCATGCGTTCATAGCTCATCAATAGCAAGGGGTGAAATATAAAATGGACTGAAAAAATCACTTTAGATGAGGTTGACACACTGACGAAAGGTGTAGTACTTAAATGATTTCATTGTCACCATATAACATGGTCTACCAGAAAACAAGGTTAACTTGTGATAAGTGGTACATTTACGGTTCCATACTGCGCTGCGAAAAGCTGGATAATCGCTTTTTGTCCTAGCAAACCACACCCGTTACGTTATACGCTTATTCAATGTATCAAAGTTAAGGATGCCTAACTAAAGCTTCACTACGCTAGGTTATCTTCCAACGATTCAGTACACTGTTACGAAGGAGATATCTGGTTTATTTCAGATTGCATGAGATCGCTGCCAGAGTGAATCTTCGTTGAGTAATTTTGCTAATGCTTCACCCAGGATTCTTCATCATGATTGCCATGTTTTGTATTGCATATATTTCAAGTAACACTGTACATGTATTAGTGAGTCACTCTTTTCGATTCTAGAAAACCAATAATGCTTTAAGCTTATCATTTCATGATTTAAAAAAACGAGTTCAATGAATGTTTTGTTCAAAAATTTGTTTAACAGTTGATTCAAAGCTTTGTAATAGGGAGATGGTTTGCTTGTTGCACGTCGTTCATCAGTCTTCGAAATAAGTGCCACTAAGCACCTCCGGGCAGTGGTCGCGATACACCTCATGCTCTCGTAAATGAAAGATCCACTGTGAAGAGAGCCTTACCTAAGTTGACAACAAGAGCAGACAAACTTCCCTAGAGCAGACATACTCAGTACTTGAACGTACCAAATGAACCCCATTGACGTGGGGAGGGGGGGTCTTATTTGACGTATAGTGAAAGTTCCGGTTAAACCTCTCCAGTGTGGTTCTGTATTATCTTTCACACTTGCAAGTACCGACTAGAACGAGTCGTTAATGGCTGATGATCGGTAGACAATCAATAGGAATTAGGGATTTCAATGTCGAAGTTCAAAATACAAAGTGTTTGCCTTTCAGGATTTTAGCATTTTCTTGAATTTTTAGGTTGTTACCTTGAAATATTTCGTAGTATTTGACAAAGTTTTTCGTCCAGTATAAATTCTTCTACAGTTCGCACCAGGCGACGGCTTCTACTGTGCCTTTCACTCTTAAGAGTCTTTCACGAATGATGGGAGCGTTTATGTATGTGCATTTTTGCAAATTATTCGGATCAGATGCCACTCAGTTTTCCCAATTTCAAAACTTTTTAGATTGTTTTATACAAACGAATACATACATAGAATTTCAATCTTTTTGTATACATACTCGCGCCAGGTCCCGTATCACTCATAAATCAACCAGTGAAATCCCCATAACGACCCATTTTTACAACAATAGAACTCTAATAAATGTACATGGTATATACATGAATTTCTATGATTTCAACATTCAGTCCTAACACATGCCAGTTTCACGTCGCAGTAATTCTCGATGATCCCTGAATGGATCAAATTCGTCCAGTACTCTCAAGATTCCTTGGAAATTCATTCTTGGATTGCTTCGTAGCCTCGTCCACATACTCTCATTTGGCGTTGGAAATCGCATAACCCTTGCTTCCCTGTATAACTCTAGCAATGATTGTTGGGAAGCTTTATCTGTAGTTTGATTTGCCTGAAAGTAACAGCTGCTATGGATCATTCTATCATAGCACTGCATGACCACTTACTACAATCTGGCATTGTTCGTGCTTAGCATCGTACATAACGCAATTTCCGTATCGTTTCGGCTCAGTAATGGGAATAATGGCACCGAGCAAAACGACAACCATCACCGGCGGTTTCCTTCTTCGTACTAGTCGTGCTGGTTGTTCATCTTGCTTCAACACAAGGATAACGGGATTTTCATTTCTATATGCATCCTGATACGAGACACATAACAGTTGGATTAATACGTTTGCATTGGGCGGTATATCGGCATCCTCACGTGAAGTAGGGTAACCATCCTGAATAACTACATATATTATCTCATTAAAACAGTAAATATTCCAATTCATTTTCCTTCTTTATACAAAAGCATTAATATGATGTAAACGCGCTTACCTGGAAGCCTAAGAACATGGCTCTATTGTGGTGGTATGCATTGAACACGTCCACGAAAGAAGCGTTGTTAGAGCCATCGAGGAAAGGAACGAGGCCAGCGATGCGAGTTTTTGTGTTCAGGGAGCAGAAAACATTATGCGCTGTGATCACTTGTGGTAATCTTGTCCGCTGCAGTTCCTCTAGGTGTCCAGGACTTAGACCAATTTGTTGAGAATAAGAACATTCATCGCTTATTGCATCGCTTGGTCTCGGAACCATTACGACAGGAATTTGCAGATCCGTAGTTGACTCTAAAATTTCGATGATGAAAATTTGAGGTGCTGTCGCGCTGAGTAGTTAGAGTTTACAGATGAACGAATATCTTACCGAGTTGCGGCTTGCATCTTTCACACAGACAATCCATGGGCATTCCACCGCGCGGGTATTTTTTCCCATAGTCCCACAATAACTGTTCACCTGCCTGAACTCAGAATTCGGCGAATAACAGTCGAGTAAAGTTCGTAAGTAACCGTATATAGTGAAACTTTTTTGTACCGTTATATTTCGTGTTGCCTCAAAGATCACCAGCATTTCCATTTGGGGTCCTAGGTCCGTGACGTAGCTACGATCGATGCGCTTATAATGGAGATTTGGATGAATTCCGCTATGGTTGAAAAGTCGACCCAGTGTCACCGCTCCTTTATATATAGGATCATGTGCGAGAATTGAATATTTCCACTCACGCGTACCACCGTGCTGATCACGGACGTAAGCTGAAAATACCTATTTCCGACATTAAAAAAACACCGGAGACACATGCAGACACTAACGCTAACCTTTATATTCGACTTCATAATCACCTACATGAGTCGCATATTCCACGCCCGATTTCTGCATCATTTCAATTGCCTTGTGCACAGGTACAAATGTGCCCCTAAAACATGTATGGAGCTATAGATACGCTTCGATGTGTAACGAAATTTCCAGAGAATTTTGTGAGATTACCTATAATCGCTGACAATTTGACCTTTGTCAATGGAGTGTTTGGCAAACAATCCTTTCCCTTCAATGCTAGGAATATCGCGTATTTCAAGCCAAGGAAAGTCCTAAAATTTTTCTTTGTGGTTTTGGCCATACGAATTATATATCGTTCAATTATTCATTATTCACCTGGATTGGTTGCGCTGTACGTCGGACATTGAAACACTGCCGTTCGTATTCAGTGCAGTAGCCACCTAAATCGTTCGTTGTGGAGGGTTTGCCATTGTGATATCTCATGTAGCTGAGCACATTGTCCGGAACGGCCATCTCTGGTAATATTCCAGCGCCGTGATCATGAACCTCGACGGGTTCTTCCTGTTCCACTCCTGGTTGAGAAATCTCAGCGGCTTCTTCTTGTTCCATTTGTTGCTGAATGTTTGGTTCACCAGCTACCACATCCTGTAACTCATGTGGAACTTCTTCCATTTCTTGATCGCCGGCCACCACATCCTGCTGCTCCACCATAACGTCATCCCTATCATGTTCACCGACTCGCGGTTGCTCCTCTGGAATTCTCTCCATTCCTTGATCAACAGCTACTACATCCTGATGTTCCTCTGGAACATCTTCCATTCCCGCTCGATCGCCAGCTACCACACCGTGTCGCTCCTCTTGAACGTCATCCATTTCATGTTCACTAGCTGATGAAACAATCAGTTCCTCCTCTGAAAAATCGTCTCCTTCTGAAGATGAGCCGCTAGGCTGGTCGACGTCATCCAATCTTTCTTCAGGAACATCTTCCATTCCTTGATCGCCAGCTACCACATCGCGTCGTTCCTCTTGAACGTCCTCCATTTCATGTTCACTAGATGATGAATCAATCTGTTCCTCCTCTGAAAAATCGTCTCCTTCTGAAGATGAGTCGATAGGTTGGTCGGCATCATCCAATCTTTCTTCGTTCGCGTTCCATTGTTCGTCCACAGCAGCATCCTCAGCCGGTAGTTCACGTACGCTAAATCTGTCCTTTGTACAAGAGGTGAACAGCAAATAAATAATGGAAACACTTACGCCCTTTCCGCGTTCAACATTTCCTCTACTGAGCTAGCTGTTCAGTCATTTCCCTTCGGCTCCCTTCCTCAACTGCATAGCTTCTAAGGACGAGATAGCCGAATATACAACATAGCTCATGTCTTTTCACATAAAATTCCTGTTGCGTCCTTAGGTCATGTGCTGTCAAAATGCAACTGATAAATAATGATTTTTGGAACAAATGCATGGCATAACAGCACGGCTTTCACTCACATTGTAATAACGCCACGTTAAGGTTAGTGAATCTGTCCTTTAGGAGTTGTAGCTCCGTCCTAATCCCATTCTCGATTTCTATGTGTGCCACGCTATGCCTTGTCTAAACCAGAACCACGATAAGCAATCACAAGAGCGACCGTGTTGATGAAGGCTCACCGTGGCACTGCTTATTCCCAGCGTTCCACATCCTAACCTCGTAAAAAAGTGCTTCATCATACAACGCGAATTCTCCTTCTTCACTTCTCGCCCATTCCACTGTATGAAGAACCTCTTCATTATTGTGTTGCCATCTGCTACGCCTCTTTCGTGGCATATACTGAATAGTAGTCCTGCATGAATGTGAAAAAGTGCATTCATTTACTCGATACATACTGTTCACGAAGTTCCTTATAGAAATCTAGCCACGTCATACACTTTTCATCCACCACAAAATAGCCACCGCCTCTGCCCATTGGGTCACGCGCTACATTGTAGCGTTTCCGTCGAGGGTACCTTCCGACCTGAACGAGTAATCCACTATCTGCTTCTAGAAGCTAAAATTGATATAAATAGTATTTTACACACCCAGAAATGTTCTAAAATTCCAAGATCAGGAATAGGCATGACAGCTGTGAGACTGCATATATTGCCATAACGTGTCTTATATGTGAGCTCATTTCTCGCACCATTACAGTGCACCAGATACACCATGACAGCACTGAACATAGCTTTTTACACTCACAATTTCCACAGTTGCACTGCGTGCTCTAGTACCTTACCTCATCACGTAGTTGTAATTTCGCAAAGTTAGCGAAGTACTATCTTCATTGAATCTTCTCATGATTTCATTTATCTCTTCCTCAATCTCCGTACAGTCCACTATTTTTTTCACCACACAGTATGGTACTGTATTCTAAACATGGGAACAATTAGAACCATGTCATCTTGTTCATTTATTCTGATATGTTATTCTTACTTCTGGTCTTTCACTTTTCATTAAGACCTTGGTATGTGCTGTGCGATCGGATCTCGTCCTTTACCCTTTCGAGTTCGGCTTCGGTAACTCTTATCGCGTAGTGAATCGCAGCATCTCGAGCATATCCGGCCACTGAAATTTGTAATTTTCTCTTGTACATCACTGTTGTATTGTTTTGGCCAAACCTGCGCTCATATTTAGCCTCAAGAAATTGTAGAATGACAGCAATGCTAATGCGAACTGTTTTCTGACACTTAACACCACACCCGCATCCTGTAATCGGCGGAAGAACGCCGGTACGATCTCACAGGAATAGATAGCGTCATCGATGGTCACTGTTTCACCGAATCTGAACAGCCAATATTTACTTGTACACTTGTTTGTGCTGGACGGTTTCGTCACCTCTTTCTTGAACGCATCGCCACGAGCATAAACCGTTCAACATTACTCGCATATGGCTTCCGTGTCTGGTTAGGTTCCTGATATAGTTGTCGTACACCATTGTTGTCTATTACCCGCACGGACTGCAAATTAGGTATTGTTACAGTTTGCAAAGCCTTGGGAATGATTTATTCGGGGGCAAGTATGTTTCCATTAGATGCAAAAATATCGGACCATTTGATGCGTTCCCACAGTATCACTCCCAAATTTGGCCCACAATATCGAATTGATCAACAACGTGCCTACCGTTCTAGTTTCAAGAAATTCTGAATAAGTTCGCAATATCCGATGACTTTCCCTGTCCAGTTTTCTCCACAACTTTAATCGTTCATCCACTTCGCTCATCCATCCTTAATAGTTATAATGCGCATTGCATTGTGGCATGGCTTTTGTTATGATAAATGACGTTATAATCTACATTAAACTATATTTCTATGCGACTAACTTTGGCCACGATCGCTGCCCGATGGAAGTGGAAATGCCTGCATGTAGTACGGTCGCTCTTGATCTGTTTCGCCTTCGCTCCAATCGTCTTGTTCGTGGTCAAACATCAAATTTGTGTGAGGCTTTCCCAAAAACCAATGGTGCACCGAATGGCCGCCTGTATTTCGTGGTTATGAATACTCAACATTGAAGCATTCTTACGTACTTACCGCTATATTCCGAGTCTTCATTAACGTTGACCGTGTAACACAGCTGACTCCTTGGTATAGTTGGCGCTCCACGTGTAGATGGCCGACCACCGATATCCTACAGTATCTCATCAATGAAAATCTTTTCCGAAACTTCGCGTAGAGTTGCGCAGCTTACCTGGTCTATTGATCTTTCTTGTCTTCCTTGTGGTTGTAGAGCTTCTCCTCCTGACGGTCCTGGCCTTTCCTCCGCACCTCGCGCCTGTGCTTCTTCCGCCGCTAGACCCGACGGTCCTGCCTGTTCTTGTCCAGCCTGTGCTTGTGCGCCTACTGGCGCTAAATCGGACGGTCCTTGCCTTTCCTGCTCACCTTGGACTTGCCCATCTAACGCCGCTATAGCCGGCGGTCTAGGCTCTTGCTCCATATCCTCGTCAGCAGCTACGACGGCTACCGCCTGTGGTGTTGAATGTGATGCCTGCTGGTCATGTGGTTGCTCGTTCAGATTCTGCTCAAATGTAGCGTTATAAACACAAAGAACAAGACAAAGTGTCAACTGATTCGAATCATTGCTCACGTAATTGCGCAGTGGAACACCGCCTTCGCTTAGTTGCTGCACAAATGCCATGTAGATCTGCCACTCCCTTGGATGTCGAGGCATGGGAATTCTTTTGAAATCCACAGATACACCCTTCAGTCTTTCTAGTATTCCTCTGCTAACTTGCTTATGTGCCTATGAATTGTCGATATCGAGTTCTCACTAGAAAGGCATAAACTGGCTCACCTCATAAAGTTCGCTTATGTTTCCATCGGGATCTTTCTGTGTTATACCATGAATTCTACTCATATGCATATTATAATTAAATTTGCCGTGCTTCCCACATTTGAAACAAATCTGATAGCCGTGTTCTTCGGCGGGCGGATAATACACATCTGAAATACAACAGTTTGCAACAGTATATCAAAGTGACACACAGCGTAAAACAATGCCGTTATTTGCCTTGGGTTAGCTCCAACGATAGCCCAGGTATATCTTTCGGCAGCACTCTTTTGGCGTAATCACCGATCCGTTTGACAGCAGTTCGGCGAACTTCCCGTGCAGTGTTGCTGCGGCGTCTCTGCATTTTCCTAATCTGGATAGGTAAATGGAGAGCAGTTAAACCATTAGTGAGGTATCCGAGCAAATCAATGAGCTAATCAATGTAGGTACACGCCGTACACATGAGAAGCCTATACTCTTCTTCAGCAACAATGGACTTGATGGGCAGTTTTATTAATCATATATATGAGGAACAAGAGGATAGTTCTGCATACGGTGATTATCAAAGTAATCTCTCCATTGCTTCGCGTCAGCTTGCTCACGTTCCACGGCGTTAAATCTTCTACAATGCTTCCAATACAACATTGTGCAATAAATGATGGTAATCAGCCACAACAGCATCATCCATGAGTCTGATATCCATGAATACGATATCCATGAGTCCGATGCCATATGTGGTGATGCATCAGGTGTGTAGTTCGGAACTGTATCCTGATAATAAACGCTATCTATTACTTCCAGCACCTCACAGTTAGCATATTGAAACTGAAACGACGCCACTCACCGGTACTATGACTTTGAAATCAGTGCCCATTTCGCTCTGGACTACACGCGAGTGGACCACCACCTTTCCGATCCTCAACCACTTCCCTCTCGGCACTTCGACGGCAAACACCGGCTTCGTGATAACTTTTGGATCCTGTATATTGTGGAGCTCCTCAGGCATCTCGTACATTTGCGTGGCCCTAGTTGCTATGATCACGAAACGTGCTAACGGCCGCACCAAAGTGAACTGTAATTGTATTAGATGAGTAAAATGCTAAGTGAAAACGCCGCATCAGTAAAGCAACTCCCGTACCTGTTCGTCCGTCGAATTTTGCAAGACCAGTTCGCACTTATGCCGATCTGAAGAAAGCAGTCCACATCCTGGTACTTGTTCTTGCAAATTGCACAGCATAACTGAGGACGAGTGTCGACACAGGCTTTCATCTTGCACCATTTTTAGTTTGGATAAATTGACATTCTTGTGTTCCTCCTTCTTGATCGCATACAATCCTCCAACGTCGTGTATCCAATATGCACTCATGTTTGGCAAGAATTGTCCAAGAGGTTCCACGCGAACCAGATAGTCTACATCGGAAACCATCGCTGTTGGATAACAGATCTGAGAACATACAATCTCACATTGCTATGTGCTACATTAGATTACGAACTCTACAATTACCTTGATTTCAATTGTTCTCATATTCATTCCGATTACCGTGGCCTTTATCGTATCCCTTGCACCACTGCCGTGCAATGCCAGCAGTGACCCGTTGAAGTGTGCACCCGCAAGCCGCTTGATTGCCGACATGAGGCTGCGGTTACTCGACCGTTCCAACAGCCCTTCAGCCACTCTACCGAAACCGAACAGCTGATCGAGGGTATCATGCACTTGCGCATACACTTGAGTCCGCACAGATGAAAATGCTAATCCGAAATGGTCACTGTAAAATCATGCAAGTGAGAACTACACTAGAAAAAATTAAAGTCGTCTTATAGTTACAGCTGTCAGATATCAACTTCTAGAGTATACCTTGATGTTTGAAAAGTGATTCCGTTGATCAGCGCCACGAACGTATTCGCGATAGCCTTCATTTTGTTCTGAGTCTCCTAAATTGTGGATTTGAACAAGTTGAGATCATAGACGAAGCAGACGTAAAGCACGATTTCCGCAAGACGACACACCGTTCTGTAGTGTCTGAGCTCACTTTCCTCGAACACGTGCTCAACACCTTTGAATATCAAACCGCCAAGTCCCATCCCAATACCGAGCGCAACAACTCCGGCATAAGGGAAAAACTGCAGCTCCGTTGCCCTAAAAATACCCATGTTTGCGTAGAAGAATCTAGACGAAACGACGTTTATAAGCTTGTGCTCACCTGTACCATGGTGTGGTGGCACGGCGCATTTCAAAAAGCTTCATCATTTCAGCTTTGTGTTCGACCAATGCTGTTGCCTTCATCGTCTTATAGACCTGTACATGTCACATATTATCTTATCAGATTTCGTGACAAGCACAAATCGGGTACTGACCTCCAATCGAAGAGTTTCATTCAGAACGGTATTCTTATCGGCTTTCATCAGATAGTCTTCAATCGGTTTCACTGCCGCTTCGAATAGGTCCCCGTCAACATATGCCGTGTAGTCTATCAAGTTGCGGATTTATTTTGAACATTGATCCAGATAAGTGACAGAGATGCGTGCGAAGAGTACAAAAGTGCTCACCAAGCAGCACTATTCCACAAGCTTCTTTTCGATCAGCCACTTCGCCAACTATTTCCGCATGTAGTCCATTACGCAGGAATTCATTACGAATTCCTACATCAAGCTGTGCAGGGATGTGCACAAATTCTGGCACGTATGCGCCGAATTCTCCGTACGCACCCTTAGTGCAAAACAACACCAACAAAGACAAAACTTTGTAGAATTGCGCCGACTGCATTCCTTAGCTGTAAACAAGATTCCACCTGTTAACATCTTGACAAAATTCCAAGTGTTAACATCTTGAGCAACTCGTTAGAAAAAGACAATTCATGCCATCAAAGGAGATAAAGTGTATGCATGAACACATCGTTTTCATGCTCACATTCAAAGGAAACCATTTATTCCAACATTATCTGTGATACTTTTAGTATGTTGTAGATCGACTACTACCATCTCCAACAGTAGTAATTCCATTCGTGCATTCGTGTGATCGCAAACTACCCGACGAAGTCAACTGTGCGTTCTGCTCTTGAAAAATTAGAGATGAGTTTTATGCTCGAGATGTTTGATGATCATAAGTTTATTGTGTTGATTATACGCTGTACATTGATATGAATACGCATATAGGTCTGCAAGCAAACATATATGTGTTCACATAGATGATGTTTTTTATTGTATTATTTGCGTTTCCCTTTTATCTATTCTTTTTTGATCCCTGAAACATGCAATGAAAATGGAAACAATAAGTAATAAAAAAACCAAAAGCATAAAACAGAATGCAGAAGTTGAATAAAAAAATTGGAATCTCTTTGAAATAGTAAATGAAAATCTGTAGTAAAACATGGAACAAAAATTTTAACTACTAAAAACGGATAAAATCGATCAAAGTGAGAATTACCACCGCTCACCCTCCAATGTGATTCAGATCAATACTGCAAAGAAACTGTGGTTGAATTGATGGACTATGGAAATTGAAGTTTGCTCAGTTTGGTACAAACAAGTCAAAGAAAAAAAAATGAATTTGCAACATACAAAGGCTCTGGAGACTGTGATATTGTCGCATGACGTTGATAACATACGAGAACTCCAGCTTCTTCCTGTGCAACAGGTCCGTCCACATATTATGTATCTTAGTCGGGAAACGCAGCAGCTCTCCTCCACTAAACTCTTCGCTAAGAGTCGGTCCCTCATAATCTAACGTGCATGGGTGAACCTATAACGATGTTGTTCTCAGAATGGGATTGTTCAGTAAAGCGTTTGTGGGAACAGTGCTCACCGGATAGCAACTCTCTGCAGACTCGTCGTAACTCACGCAACAGCTATACCTTTGCGATGAGCTTGGTGGGATCATCTCGCCAAGAAGTACCACTGTCGCGGTACCGGTTGCCGGTTTCAGCACGAGCACTACCGACGCTTTTCTCTTCCCATTGTACGCATCACCGTAAGCTGCCATGAGCAGCGTACTTAGTCGGTTATCTGGGTCAAATGGAGAGACCTCATGGTAGGGATCGTAATGCTGAAATCGGAAGGAGACTCGTGCGATGATGTATGCACGGAAATGCTTGAATAATCGTTAATCGACTCACATGTGCATCTTGAGGGCACACAGCAATGCGGCTCGCTATGTATGCTGCGAAACTGTCCAGTTTTCGAGTGGTGTCCAATCGAAGAAGCCATTTCGACTGGATACTAACCCATAACAGCAGCCGCTCAGCCGTTACCGGAGAGTTGGTCTTATCACGTTTGGCGTCTTCAATGACTAGTTGTCTTCGTCTCATCGCCGGCCATTGCACAGTGTCCACAACTGTGAGTCGCCAATGAATGGAGGTATTGGACGAACTGCGCTCATCTGTGACCTCGTCGTTAACGAATTCAAATGGGCTCCCTGAAATGATGGTTCTAATAAGTGTTTGTTTACACCCATATTCACTTGGATATATACCGTGCTCAAGCGGCGGAGCACGAGGCTGCATTCTCGTGCTCATCTCCGGTGAATGTGACGGCGGAAGTGGGCGAACGTGAACATCGTGAAAGCGCCCCATTGAAGCCTTGTACATCGGTATCGTTCTCGGCGCTAACCTCTGCTCTATCGATGAAGCTGGTTCTAGTGGGGACTCTACAGCGGATTCACTTTCACCTTGCGTCGACGGTTCCGCAACGTAATGTTGGTCGATCGTTCCAGCCATCGCTTCACCGCCACATGCTCCTTGGGAATGGTGCTGGTTGCGCCCTTCTGCCATCTTTCTGATCCCGCTTGCATCCGTCACTTTCGCTGCTTTTTGTTGCTCATGCTCTAGCGGCGCAGCGCTGGGCAGTGGATTCGTCGCCATTTTTGGATTCTCGAAGCATGGCTTCGAGAATGAGTCAACGTGCTCATCACGAGCGCGCCCCATTGAAACCTTGTAAACCGATTCAGGCTGGCGTTGTTCACTTGTTCCTGCTCCACTGCCGCTCGTATCCGATCCTTTCGTCAATCGCTTGAACAACTTTTTCCCTTTACTCCACATGCTTTTCTTGACTTTCACTTGTGGCTCATGAGGCAAGTTGGGCCGGTTGGAATCCTCACTACTGCTTTCATCTGAAAATGTTGCTAAAATGTGCACTGTTTCATGAGTATTGTATAATGTTATCGCTATTTTAGTAGCTTGTAATAGTCACACTGCAAGTACCTTCAAATGGCGGCGAATTCTTGGCCCGCTTCCTCGAAGGATGTCGTATACCGCTTGTTGAAGCTCCATCATCACGCACCTCTTAATCAAATGTGCTTGTGCGACATTGAACTGTTCAGTACCTGTTTAAAAAAATGGACACTCTTCAATTGATACTAACTGCGAATCTTCTTTGAGGGAACATATGCGGTGGGGTCGGATGCTACAGCAGCATCGTCTTCATCTTCAGCATCGTCTTCATCTTCCAATGAGGGCTCGTCCGTGTCCGACAACTGCATGGCCATTTTAGAGAATCTGCAAAATTGAGACAGCGCACACTTGAGAAGAGAGTTTTTCAAATTCTAGAAACGGTTGACTGGCCATACCCCGTAAACTTTACACGTCGTTCGGCCGCCGCTATATCAGCCCCAAATAATCCTTTTTGTCTCTCGGCCAACAATCTTGCAATGCGGTATCCCTTCACAACGGATTTTGAGAAACTGTCCACGTAATGTCGCATTTGGACTTCTTCGGAGTGGCCTTGAAAGAGATACATGTGTTTTCTATCAATTTATAAACATGCGTTTGACTTACGAACCTAGCATCGCGGCAATGTTCGGATCGACTGGCTTTAGTCTCCCTACGCTGTCTTGATCCAGGGATTCGTCGAAGTTGCGCCCAGAAATTGCGTGTCTTACCTATGTTTGAAGGGAATGGTATTTTCAGTTGAGCACAATCACCCACTTGCAATTGCTCACTTACCGCATTGCATGTGATAAGCATTTCTTCGCAATTTATTGTCTTGAAAAACCGCTTAAAGAGATATGGAATAGACGAAGGCGACGCTGGCGTGCCGCTCCACAACAGGAAGAATGGACTTGCCCGCTCATTCATTTGGGGAGCAAGATCATGCTGCTGGACAACACTGAAAAAAACGACGTTATTCCAATCTACATGTGCTAATTTCCTACTCGGACATACTAGCTACGGAGTTTCTTGTAGTGTTGCAACCATGCATACGATTTCCTGTCCAGAACAAAGAGGCCACTTTTGCATGTCGTTTCTCGACGACCCGATCCTTGCTGTTTCGGTTGCGGGAAACGCACAACCTGAAGTCGTACCCGATAGCTGCTGTCCAAAAATGGTTTGTTTGAAACCTCCAAGATCCACTGCCATACAAGCCTACGTAAACCTGATAGAACAGCTCTAGCTTTACCCAAAAGTCCTCGTCCGATTCCACATGCTTAACGAGTCCCATAGGTTGGAAAGCTGTTACGGCCTCCTCCACTACACTGCCGCATACCGTTTTGCAGGCTATCTCGTTCCTTGAGCCACTGCAGACCATAATGTACGCGAATAGAGCGCTGCAATATGGTGACGTGTATAAGTGCAAGACGCTCTTTCTCATTCATTTGCAACCTCCCGTCGATGTATGTACGTACATACCTCATCAAGAAATTGTACTCCACATGAAGCAGCTCTCTCGAATTCCTTGCAAACTTTTTCATAATTTCCTCAATTTTTTCGTTGATAATGCGGTGATTGACGACCGCTCGCATCGCCCCATACAGCGCGCATCTCTGGAAAGAGCAAAATTTTGAACTATATAAGTATGTCATGTGCTTGTTTTGTCTAGAGTACCGACCTTTTTAGGCTTTCCCATAGAAACGATTCCCTTGTGCGATGCGGCTTTCACTTCCTCGCTCTTCAGACGTTTATAGTGGTCTCTCATAATTTCAATTGCGTTTATCGCAATCGGTATCCTTCTTTCTCCGGCGACTGTCGACAAGAGTATGTTTTATATGTTGTATGGAAATGGTTGAAAAAAGTCCAATGGGTGAAACAAGTTCTGTGAAATGTACCGGGGTCCATATGAACTTTCAGGAAATTGTAAAAAGCGATCAGCGACTTGATAAAGCCCATTCGAACATGGACTGTCACTGCGTGTTTTTGGGTCACTTGCAGGAATTCCGCAACCATGCAGTGAGAAAACAGCGCATCGTCCACAGTAACAATTCTACCGCACCTAAACTTTTCAGTCCTCCTCCAGAAAACGAACACTGCCAGCAGGTATTCACACACCTTTGACGTGCTCTCATCGCTATAAGCATGAACCGACAAACGTATGCCATGTGGACTGCACTACGGTCAAGCGACTTCAGATATGGCTCTTCTCCACCGATTAGCTGAAATATTTGCGTAAAATTCCACATGCGATGTGTTCGATGATGTAGATGCTTAGAAACTTCTTACTATAAAATCTTGGAGATGGGTCTTGAATAGCGTCAAAATCGGGTGACTCTCTTCGTTCAACTTCCTCCATAACTTCATTGACATATCCGCGCCTCTCATCCATCCTTGAAAATGTGGCAGGTGAAGAGCGTTTTGCCATGTGGTTGATCTTATGACTAATCAGTCCTTGGAAACCTACCCGACTCTTTTGGTACAGTGTAGTCTTGCACGAAATAGTCCGGCGTGTATTCGTCATCGTAGTACTTGAACATCAAGTCCGATACGTACCGACTCGTAAAGTGTGGATGAATAGTAGATCCGCCTGCATACAGATTCGGTTAGCTTGTTGTATTCCTTCAACTCACATACTTGGCTAACCTTTGTATAGCATGTCATAAGCAAATCTGTACTCATGTTCGCGCGGTATGTGCGGAGCACTAAACGTTTCTGGAAGCGTGAACGTCTGCAAAAGGGAAGTTTCAGCCTGATCAGAACAGAAAAATAGATAGCGGTTGAAATTTCCTAATGTTAGCGTATTCGCACCGATGGAAACGATGTTGAAGCCCCTTGAGCAGACGGTCCCGCTTGGTCCATGAGTTCTAGCTGTTTGAATTGCATTTGGGGATTAGCCGCCAGATAACGCTCACGGAGCACCACTTGACGCTCCAAAACCTGTAACACTGCACCTTGATGTGGCTATGATGAATGGATGAAGCAAGAATACAAGATGTGATTTGTATGGATGAAGAGGACCCCATAAGTAGGAACCCCGCCGTTCCGTAGTTGAGCCACTATTTCTTCGTACGTGTCCCACTCTCGGTCAGTCCTTGGTTCCGGTATCCGCGTGAAGTCAACGCTTGCCTTCTTCGTTCTTTCTAGCATTCCGCGACCCGTGTGCACTAGAACCTGAACAAGAAAGAGGAACAGTCTTATCATTCCCGTACTCTAGGAGGCAAACTGTTCACCTGAATCTCCCATTTCTCCGCAAATTCCTTATGGCTATCCTGTATATGACCTGTTAAACTAGTGAATTTCTTGTGTTTTCCGCACACCATACAGAATTGGTAGCCTCTTGACGGTATGCTTGGAGCATACACTTCTGAAAATAAGCTTAGTTTTATCTGGGGCATCAGTAAATGTTCAGCATTGTCAGCAATCAATAACGGAAGCCCACCGTCTGAGAGCTCAACAGGCGGTTTCGGAATTCTCCCACTTTCTATCCATGACGGTATGCATTCCTTTGCCAGTGCAGCAATTTGATCGCTTGGTAGTGGGACCTCGCCCCCATCAGTACTCTTGGTCTTCTTGGTCTTTTGCCGCTCCACGAATTGCACTCCTCTCTCTACCTCCACTCGTTTATCTTCTGCTCCGGACATTTCTGGTATAGTTGTTCTACTGTAAACCTGCAACGCGTACGAGGCAACTAAAAAGCAGATGTATTTTTTTAGAAACGTGCCATATTCATCTCAACGGAGTTGCAAATATCGGCTAGAAAACATGGGAAAAGAAAAAAAACGTCAGATGCCAGGGTCGCGTTTGAAATGTGTTCGACTTTCTGTTAATGTTGCTGTCAAAATATTGTATTTATATGAGATTATTGTTGGCTGTGACAAATATTGTATTATTAGCTCTCGTGTGTGTTTCAGTAAACTAACTCTCGACATATTCGATTACAATTCTATTGTGATATTGGTTAACATTGGTTTCTATTCTTTGGTGATTCTGTGTCAGGTCTGTTAATGTTACAGTGCACTCGAGGTGTGAATAAAATATCTCGCTTTTAAGTGCGATTCGATATAATATGAAAAGATATTAAGGAAAATTGCTCATATTAAAATTAAATATAAGAGAAGTCTCAATAGATTCAAAAGTTAATGTTTAATAGTCATTAATCTTAAAATCTGGATTATGAATAAAGTTTTTGTTCCATTTAGTAATTTGCTTTAATTAGGTTTATTGGTTTGTGTTATTCAAATTCAACTTTAAATTCGCGTTTGAATATGATGGCTATAGACTGGCAATGAATTGTCAGCGTCTGGTCCCCTACCTGAGCAGCATCGAAGTGAACCGTTTACCATTTTCAAGCCTTCCCGAAAAAAACGATATTTCGATCGATATCGATCGGTTACTCATGACCGTATGAATTTCAGCGTCTGGTCCCCTACCTGAGCAGCATCGAGTGAACCGTTACCATTTCAAGCTTCCCGAAAAAACCGATATTTTCGATCGATATCGATCGGTTACTCATGACCGTATGAATTTTCAGGATGCGTCCCCTACCTGAGCAGCGTCGAGTGAACCGTTACCATTTTCAAGCCTTCCCCGAAAAAACCGATATTTTCGATCGATATCGATCGCTTTGGCTGCTTTCATACTCCATGATTTTGGAGTTAGGAGAATAGGTAGTAGTGAAAAAATTGTGTTACTATTATTTTCTAGATGTAGCTTGTTCTGAATTCTTGGTATAGGGATTAAAGCAAAATATCAAGTAGTATTCCAAGCACTTGATTCTACTAAAAAGCGTTGAATATTGGGCATTGTTTGGCCTCTTTTGGGATGCACCAATTCGCGGACTGGCTACCAGCGAATCGCCGTATTCGCTAAGTTTGACACCGGCATTACCGATTCATAGGGATTTGTTTGGCATTCACGAGACTCGGTTTTGCATGCCCCCAAACATGCCGTGGACATTGGTTAGTGCAATACCTTCACCCATGTGTTAGGTAGGTTTAAAGGAGCTGATCTTGTTCTGTTGCACGCATTCTCTAGAACCTCTTGAAGAACTGCGAGCACATGGTGATTAGTTGGCACCATTGTCACCATTTACGGTGTTGCTATCCAGAGAGTGAATGACGAGACTTTTTACCCGTTCAAAATATACTGAATTACGCACCCAGTGGCGGTAAAGCAAAGAAATCCGTCAAGAGCCCGCAAAATGGGACCATTGTATGTGCTTGTTGACCCAACAACGGACGAGCCAGCACCCAATTAGGGATCGTTTGCACGTATCAATCCGTTGCCACGATACTGCCGAAAGTACCATATTTTGATGGATAACGCTTTCCACAGAAGTTGTAGAAGACGGCCGCTCGAAGTGGAGTACCCTTACAAATTGACCTGGCAACACGCTAAGAGCACAGTAAGGGTTGGCAAGCCCAGTGCGATGCCTTCAGAAATTCAGTCTGTACCGAACAGTGCGTTGAATAACTCCAGGGTTTACTCGGATACGCCATCCATATCCCCTCGAGTTCCTCCGCGACCGCCACCCTTACCAACACAACCCATACCGCCCGGCACAAGGGTACGCTGCTGTTGCCCCACTAATGAG